ATCATACTTTTAGATCTAGAAGAATGGTCCTATCTCAGCAGACAATCATAAAACTGTTGCAAAACTGTTGAGTCTGCTGAACGCAGCTATTATTTAACTTATCAACATCTCAAAAACTTCGAAATTAAAAAGAAAAACGGGATATAAGCGACGATTTTGTCTCTCAGAATGTATTCTATGCATGAAAATATGGAAAATACACATTTACAAAGTGACGGGAACATCAGAGGGAGTGACATAATATTAAATATTTACCCAAATTACATTTACGTTTATTTTTATATGGCTGTTTCATAAATATTTAATAATGTAATTAAACAAAAAATCGCAAATTACAATGCCAGTATTTATGATATGTATGTAAATATAATCAAATACCAATAATATATAAATCCTTTTGGAGTCGACACATACGTTAAATTGATTTATAAAGGTTAGCTCGCGCACTTAAATCTTGGAGAAAATAAAAAGACAAACCTTTTGCCTCTTGCGACAGAATATGAAATGCCTCTTGGATTCTGACCTCAGGATTTGACATTATTCAAGATAAAAAAGAAATATTGCGAAACGTTAAGAAAGCACCGACAAATCTAGACAAATCTGACAAGTGGCCGCAAAGACGGATGTAGGTATTATAGGTTAGGAGATCTAAATCGAAATTGTAAATATGAATAATGTACTACGCAACTACACAGCCAATCAATGCATCTGAAACTTGTCGGATTATTCGGAAGGTCCGTTTTTTGTTGCTGCACTTTCTGAACTAGTACACACAGTGCAATATAAGTTGAAGCGAAACATATATACGTTTGTTTCACTTCAACTTATTACACCGATTCAGAGTGCAGCAATAAAAAACAGACCTTTAATCACGTGCTAGTAATTTCATTGTCTCTTTGGTGAGGATTATAAGAGACCGAAGAATCCGCTTTAATATATATGTATATACATATATACAAGTAAATTTACGCTTTTCATAGAGTAGCTAACTAGTTGAAACGGACGAGATAGTGACAGAGAGTTTAAAAAATATTTATAATTTTAATCTAATTCAAATTTTATGTATATATTTGTAGTAATACATATTATATGACATAAAAACTATACGACAGAGCAATACATTTAATAATATATTGTACATTCATATATATTCATTAGAGGAATCTTTTACTCCCTATAAATCATTACAGATTTAATATAAAATATGAAAGAGATAGTGTATGTGTGTGTGTGTGTGTGTGTGTATGTGTGGGTGGAAAATTCTGCTCACAATGTTATGTAATCATGAACAATGAAGAAATGTTGAACTGTAGACCTTTGGTATTCATAGTCGATTCTTATATTTGAGACTGTCTTAAGTACAGTCTTAAGCCAATTAGAGGGCTGCATTAGCATCTTAAGACATTATTTAAGATGGTCTTAAAATAAGAACTGACTATGAATACCGCCCCTACTAGAGATTAAGAATTTTATCATGGATCTCAAAGATATTATATCAGTTATATAATGTTGATTTGGTTATAGATACATTGTATAAAACAAAAAAGATAATCTCACGGCAGTTCTGACATTGAGCTAGATACAGAGATAGATACAGTTGTTAAAATTAAACACGTTTGCCATTGTAGATCATGAACAAAAGCAGTATGCTGCAAATACGCTTAGAAAGGCCTCTCTATGAACATGAAATGCTGAATCAAAATTACGATTATGAGAAACCAAAGTCATCCTGTAAGTTATAACGAGGTATAGACATGCCCTGTATAAATCTAGGTGTAAGCACAAATCATCTATTTACAGTGATGCAGAATGCAATAAACAATATTAAGTCAAAGAACTGGCAGTCTTGTATAGTGTCGACAGTCCCAGTGATACAATGGCTCAGCCAATACAACTGGAGGGAAGATATATTGCCTGATATTATTTCAGGCCTAACTGTAGCGATTATGCACATACCGCAAGGTATGGCTTATGCGCTTTTGGGAAATCTGCCGCCAGTAGTTGGCATATATATGGCCTTCTTTCCTGTCTTCGTATATTTCCTTTTCGGCACGTCCAAGCATGTATCTATAGGTGAGAATACCAGGTGATATTAAGAGAATATACGAAATTTGAGTTGCATTAGAGATAACATCGAGTTAAAACCAAGTTGCAAAAATATATACATTTTGCAACCCTCCTGGTTAATACATTTATTTGATTAACTTCCGTTACAGAACAGTTAGAAATAATACATCTTAATATGAACTTATTCAACAACCTTGAACAATCAAACATTCTTGGCACTCATCAGGAACTTTTGCTGTGGTTTGCCTAATGACTGGCAAAGTAGTCACATTTTACTCAAATCCATATGTCGGACACACATTTGCAAATGCTACGGATGCTGTTTTACAAAATTTCCAAGATGTTACATATGAATATACACCTATGCAAGTAGCAACAGCTGTAACATTAATGGTCGGAATATTTCAGGTAAATGCCTTTTGCATCTTTGAAAGCATATTTCTCTCGAAATTGAAAAGACAGGGAAAATAAAGAGATTTTCTTATCATTACAGATAATAATGTATACATTCCGATTAGGCATTGTAACGACTTTGCTGAGTGAAACTTTAGTGAACAGTTTTACAACAGCAGCTGCTGTTTATGTTTTAATATCTCAAATCAAGGATCTTCTTGGTTTAAAATTGCCAAAGCAAAAAGGTTACTTCAAATCGATTTTTGTAAGTAAACAAATTATATTTCTCGTATGTACGGCTATAATATTAACCCGCGAGAACCTCTTTGTCCCGCAACTAATCAACAGGCTTAAAAATCTTTGTCGTACGATACATAGAATATTAGCTTTATACCCTGAATTATACAAGGTGTTCGGAAATTCAGCCGACAACGCTCGTGGGCAGGTAGAGCGGACTAAACTGAGTCGAAAAGTCCTTTACCATTTTGCAATTTTCGCAATAGTTAACACGATATTAATTATTAAAAATTGCCGCGAATATCGGTTTTCAATCATTTTTTTCTCAAATACTATCAACTTTACAGAAAAAGTACAAGAGACAAAAATTATTTATTTTCTTCTCATAGAGTTTTTTCTTTAAGAATTTTTTCAGAATTTTTTATCACCATACTTTTTAGTACTGCATTTTCTTATTTTTATCATCATAGGAAAATACGATATTAAAAAATTCTAAAAAAATTCTCAGAACTTTATGAGAAGAAAATAAACAATTTTTCTCTCTTACAGTTTTTCTGTAAAGTTGATAGTATTTAAGTAAAAAATAATTGAAAACCAATTTTCAGTAAGTAATATCTTATTTTTAGTAAATAATATCTAACTATTGCGAAAATTGTGCAAAATGATAGAGGACTTTTCTCAGTTTAGTCCGCTCTATCTGCCCACGAGCGTTGTCGGTTGAATTTCCGAACATCCTGTATAGTAAATGTATAATAGTGATAAGAAAAATGTAGGATTTGAATCTTTCATTAGAAATTTCATTTTCTAATAAAGATACCGTTTTTTTTATGTTAGAAACAATATATGTATCCTAAAAAAATTTAATTATGAAAGATAAAATGAAAGAAATTATTATAAAAACATTTGAAAAAAGCCGATTTTTTTTCCAAAAAATCAAATATTTTATTAATTTGCTTCTTTTGCTTATATAAACATTTAAATAAGAAAGCTATTATATTTAAAATGTAAGAATACATTATTAGATATTATTTAGCTGGATCACCGCGAATTTTAATTATAGCGTTATATCTGTGCGACACATACTATTAATCAATTTGTCAGTTACAGAATAAAAAATTATCAATTTCGAAAATATTACTTTTCTTATTATACATAGATACAAATATGTGCAACTTTATATTATGAAAATTGCTTTAAAATATTCTCAATATAATAGTACTATACAAATGTATAAAATCTATTATTATGAGGTTGAACAATGTGCACGATTATATGGACAAAATGATGCATATTTTTTTGCTCACAACTGTACTTTTTTTCAAATTAGTATAACAGAAAAACAGATTTTTTTCTCTTCTTTTTCAGACTATTATAGATGTATGTACAGAAATAAAAAATAGCAATATAGCCGCTGTAACTGTATCGACTGTATCAATTATTATTCTTGTTGTCAACAATGAATATCTAAAGGTAAATAGCATATTAATTTAATACTTAATAATTGGATATTTGTAAAAGCTAAAAATATGATTTATATTCCATTAGCCAAGAATCAGCAAAAAATACAGCATACCAATACCCATTGAACTTATTGCAGTGGTTGGTGGAACATTAGTCTCTCGATATTGTGATTTACCAAAAATTTATGATATTGAAACCGTTGGGCATATTCCTACGGGGTATATATATAAAATTTTATCTCTTAACATTTTATCCTATTTTAATATTTTCAAAAATTCTAGTATCTATTTACAAATTTAGATATTATTAAAATAATTGTTATATAAATTAATTGTTATATTTTTTTAAATAGATTACCCAAGCCAGAAGTGCCAAGTTTTGAATTATTACCTTTAGTGTTGATTGATAGTATTGCGATAACTATGGTTTCGTATACTATCACTGTATCAATGGCGTTAATATTCGCGCAAAAGCTTAGTTACGAGATAGATTCGAATCAAGAACTTCTTGCAATGGTCAGACATTAATATTTTAACAATTATTGAGCTTTCATTAATAATTTCGGCAAATTCTAATTTTAGGGTTTTAGTAACGTAATGGGTTCTTTCTTCTCCTGCATGCCAATATCGGCTTCCTTGAGTAGATCTCTTATTCAGCAAACCGTCGGGGGACGTACGCAGATAGCGAGTATCGTATCTTGCTTATTATTGCTTATTATACTTTTGTGGATTGGGCCATTTTTTGAGCTTCTACCAAGATGTGTCTTGGCTTCCATAATAGTTGTACGTGTAGAATTGTATTTTAAAGAAAATCTCGCATTGTCATTCAGAAAGCATATAATTCTTAAAGATTTTTTCATGCAGGTAGCGTTAAAAGGAATGTTTCAACAAATCAATCAACTCGTTAAATTTTGGAAACTAAGCAAAATCGATGCTGTAATTTGGATTATAACGTTCCTCGTAGTAACATTGATAAATATCGACATCGGATTGCTTGCTGGATTGCTCGTGTCACTGGTCATGATTCTATTGCAAGTTATTCGACCTTATACATGCTTATTGGGTCATATACCGCATACAGATCTGTACTTAGACATGGGTAGATACAAAGCGGTAAGGCATATCGAATAAATCAGAATAGGGCCCCTATTCTTGAAAAGCATCGCAAACGGAAAACTAGGAAAATACTATAGTGTACGTAACATATACCATAGTATTTCCCTGGTTTTACGTATGCGATAATTTTCAACAATAACAGGCCCTGAGCTATTAATCAGCTTTTATATTGATTTTTGTTTTTAGGCGGTAGAGATACACGGAATAAAAATATTTCACTATTGTGGGACTTTGAATTTCGCCAATAATAGCTATTTCAAGTCCATTGTATACAAACTTGTAGGAGTGTATCCGCAAAAAATTATTAAGTACAGAAAAAAATTGGCCGAAGAGGGTCGTTTTTTAGATGAGAAAAACTCCAGAGAAACATGCGAATTGCAATGTATAATCATGGATATGAGCGCGTTGAGTTACATCGATCCCAGTAGCGTTCAAGTCCTGCATGTAATCGTAGAGGAGTTCACGCAGATGAATATTAAGTTTTACTTCGTCAATTGTCCTAGTCCTATCTTCGAAACAGTCAAGAAATGTGACTTATATGTATACGGGACAATGTCATTGAAAATTTTTGCAACTATACAGGATGCCATCGCTCATTTTCAAAATGAAATAGCCTCAAGATAATGGAAAATACAATATAGTTTTCTAATATACTATAATAAGATATATACAGGGTGTATAAAAAGTCTGGAAACAGTCGAATAGCAAAGCATTTTTGAGAAAAATGTTTCAGACAAAAGTGGTAGGGTTTAAAAAGATCTATTCACTGATCACTGATCACCGCCAAGATCGGGTCAAATCGATTTTTTTTAATGGAACACCCTATTTTTGATGCCAGAATCTAATAGCTGGTAGCAAGAGCTTTTCAAAACACTACAATAAAGTTATTTTTCATTAAGTACTTTTTAAGTTATAAGGCTTGAAAGTTACAGTTCCGTCGGCATTAGCATTACACAAGGTGTCTAACCGATGGCTAAAACTCCTTGAATATTGTTAATCATGTCCTGGATAACATTTGTTAAGATCAAGGCCATTGGAAATTGTATCTGTTATTTTCATTTTTGTGTAAAAATGAAAATAAGAGGTAATATAACCTCCAATGACTTTGATCTTGACAAATGCTATCAAAGACATGATCCTGAGCAACATTCAAGAGGTTTTAGGTTTTAACTCCTTAACTATTACTGACACCGCAAAATGGCACAGGACTTTTCGACTCAGTGTAGTCTGTTCTACCCACGCACGAAATATTTTGCAGTTTTTGCCAGACACCCTGTATATAAAAGTATCTTTATTATAACTGTTGTTATATTGATGTGTAATGGGGGAACAAATATGCAATTATAGAATCCAACTGCATATTCACTATTATTTTCCTCTGTGCAAGATACTTATATTGTTTGTGAAATGATACAAACATAAAAATTATAATATAATATGTAATTTTCTTGCTCGAATATGTATATACAAATGAAAAGGAAGATAGATCAAACACGAGTTTAAAAAATTTTAAAGATGACAAATTTTAAGACATTAGTTTATATCGTAAAATGCAGATCATACCCATATAATTCATAGTTTAAAAATTGTAAGTTTTGACTTTTGTTTTCATTCCAATTCTTATAAATTTAATTTGTTTTAATTTATACATAGATATATCTCAAGAATTTTTGACCATTAAATTCATTTGACTATCTAAATCTTACTTTGATTGGCTCCACTTTTTTCAAATGAAGAAAGTTTTGACACTCCTACGTAAAGACCTAATTTTTAATAATTTAGTTTGTGTAGTATATTTGTACAACCCTTGATATGATTTCTTTTAATAAGTCTTCTATGTTCTTTCCAATATTTTATTTTATTTTATTTTATTTATTTCATTGTTTTTTAATAATTTATTAATAACTTTTTAATCTTATATAACTATTTTTATTATTGTGTAATTGGCTGAAGATAACTAAGTAAAGTCGAAACGTTCCATTTTATCATTTGTAAAAAAAGCTCTTACATCTTTTATGATATAAACTAATGTCTTAATAAAATTTGTCATCTTAAAATCTTTAAGCTCGTGTTTGACCTATCTTCCTTTTTATAAGAATTATATTTTTTGCTATTAATTTTGTACAATGCAATGTAAAATACAGTATTGTTATATACATGATTAATATTGCATTGAAAAGACTGCATTGGAAATGAGGTGATATAAATGTACTTGCAATGGATATTCTCTAACACTGTACTTAGAAATGAGAAATTATGAATTGTTTTGCTCGATACATGTTGAAATTAATTTTTTTTAACATATCCTACTACATCGCACAATGAGATAGATGTTGGAAAAACTGGCCAAAGTCAACCTTGAAATTTGAATAAGACAAATATGGTTTAAGATGAAGAATCTCTAACTAAATTATATAAAGGGTTCAACAATTTATTTTGATTTGGCAAGGCAATGAAAATGAAAAAGACACTGAATACGTTTTGTAAGCTATGTAGCATATTTTCGACAAATCTAAGAATATATGTCAAATTTAAAATGTTATTAATTTTTGAGGTACTGGTGGGGAGCCGGGAGCGACGGAAAATAAAATGTGCAAAAATATGCATGAGTACTGAAGAAGACATAACCATCAATACATGAGATATTAGTGCGTCATGTGTCGCGGAAACAAAAATTTGTATAGTGGAAAAATTTTAGAAGTTTGGTGAAAAAAATATCTTGTTTGTAAAATAAACAAAAAACTTTTGTTATTGTTATGCTTCTATTTCCACTCAACAGCCAGCCATAAGTACCTCAAAAGTTAATAATATTTTTAATTTGACAAATATTCTTGGATCTGTTAAAAATATGTGCGCATACGCGAGTGCGCACTATGCGAGTGTCATGCGGTCAAATGAACACGTGACACTAGCCAAGTGCGCACTGCCAATCGAACACGCTCTTGACACCGAGTGCAGCTAGAGTAATCTAGGACTCTAAGTGCAGCCAGTGCACCCCAATCGAAAACGATAGTAACTAGGTAATGGCGCGGTCCCATGGTGCGGAACGTATGCGCAACAAAGAGGTTGTATACATTAGAGTCCTAGATTTATAATATAGACCAATAGATAAAAAATATAGACCACACAAACAGGTACAAGAGCTCACTGAGCGGTCGTGCTTCTGGATGCGTTCCGAGTTACATACGCATGAAGGGTATGATGCATCATTTGTCCTTGTTGTTCACCAAATAATAAAGAAAGATAAAACGATACATCACGCGCTCCATATGCAACTCGGAACGCATTGGAAAAAGGAGAAATACCAAGCAATATATAGTATGCAATTGAGTAATCGGCCTGTTTATTCATAGCGATCACCCTATGTACAATGTCACGGCTTACGGTTACTCTAAGTAACCCGTTGTGCCTTCGATAGTAGAATCGGCACAATTAGCATCCTATATTTCCTATTTGTAAGACACAATTATTTTCTCTAATCTTGCGGCAGTGTTGCCTTGCGTTGACGCTGTTGTATAATTCAGAATAAATACTCCAAAATAAAATTGGACATATCGTTCAACAATGTACGATATGAGAAATTAAAGTTGCTTTATACGCTTCTCTTTTTCTAATCAACGATCGAGTGAAATGATTCAATTAGCAATGTACCCATCACACTGCGCTTATGCCAGGCCATACTTCTTCTTGAGAGATTCTGGCATCTCAGGTGGTGGTGGACGGGGCATGCGTAACCAAACCTTGACAGCGTCATAGATAAACCATTGCGCGGCGGTCAAGGTACCAATCATAACTATTCTCGGTCCCAAGCCCTTCCACACACCACCGAAACCGAGCTGCTTCAGGACTTGACCCGCGGATGATCCCTTGTCTTGGTTCAACTTCGACACCACCTAGCCAGACATTTATAGATTCAAAATGTTGGCAATTTAAAACTATAGATAAGAATTGAGAGATATCACCAAACAGTCCATGCATATGCTATACGTAGTCTTTTTAGCCTAGATATCTTTCGGTATCTTTATTTCGTAACACTTGAACTGATCTAGTATTCAGCTTGATCCTTTGTGTTCTCTATTTTAATGGATTATATTCGAAAATTATTTATAATAATGTGTGGTTTATTTTAGCCTTGTTCAAATGAACAAATATAAATGATTATGAGGATTTTTTCATCTTTTGAAGCTTCTATAAATATTTATATTTTACCAAGGTAATGAATAACCTAATAGCGGAGCTGCTCATCCAAAAAATTTCCATGTTCAATGTTGGCATTAATAATGTATCAACATATAATGATAATCCGCAAATCTTTAAACAATTTTGAATTTTAATTTCGTACCACACAAGTTTTAGCTTTATAGGCTAAAATAGACTGTAGAAAGAAAGTTACATTTTCTTTATTTTTTTTTATTGATATGAATATCAAAATATACTTTGTATTTCAAGACATCGGTTTTTTTTTTAAGAAACAATGTCAATTATTTTGTCATATAATCTCGACTTTTTACATTTATCCTTAATGCGTTCGAATGTTTGGTCAGCATGCATCATGAGAAACATAAAAGATTGACCGGATAGTTAGGCTTTTAAATAACAAAAATTTCTTTATCTTGGTTTTTTTTTACTTCCATTTTTAAATGGAAGTATTCCAATAAAACTTACCGTATCAGCAGGATGGGATACAATAGCGCAGAATACACCAGCAATGTATCCAGCTGCAAACGTAACCACCAACTGTTCAGATTTACTGCATTCTGACCTAGGTTTGGGTACTACATATTTATATAGAAGTTCGACGGTGCGTTCGAAACAAGCAAATTTCATCATCGTATATGGAATCTGACGCAGCCATAGTGGTACTAAGCCTTTGTAGAAACTAGTAAGACCCTCGTCTGCATACATCTTTGGTATCGCTTGTCGTAAAGTATTAGCATACCCTGGCATAGTCTGTATCCTGACCTGTAATTTAAAAATAAATTGTGTAGAAACAGGGCAGTTGGTTATGTATAGAAAACTATTGACGACCAATTTACCTTGGCGGCTTCAAACGGCGCTAAGCCAATATCTGCAAAGAATTCCGCCGAAGCCGATGATATCAAGTATAAAGAGGTTCTATATTCATAAGCGAGCTCTTCACCGATCAACGTCGAATATTGAACTTTGAAAACTTCATAAAGACCAAATTTAAACATTCCCTGGATGGAGTAGCCAAAGAAAGTAGGCGCCCAGCCTTTCACTAATCCTCGAGTGCCATCTTCGGCTAAAGTTACCTATAACACGTAGAATTCACAATAAACATTATACCTTAAATATTATACAATAATATTGTATTATATCCACAGATATAAAAGGAAGTGAATAATTAGTAAGAATAATTACTCGGAATCCATTGAACACTGATTTGTATTTTTGAGGATCCACTTGAATTCGGCATTTGACTAAATCTAAGGGAGTGATACCGGTGTGAGTGATGCCACAGGATAAAATGCCTCCGAGACCGCATAGTAGGAAATACTGATTAGATCCAAATTCGCAACTATCTGAAAATATATGAAACAACATCATATTGACTTTTAATTCTATGTATTTTTCGGAAAATTCGACGGTAGAGCTCTGGCAGTATAAGTCCCGGTCCACTTTGCTTTAAGAGACCCTAAGCCGAAGGAGGTTAAGTGACATTAATTTCTGTCTTTAAATTATTTTTGCGCAGTCTCCAGTCTTTAATCATATTTAAGCAAATCGACTTGAGCAAAATCCAATTCTGACGGTCTAAAAGCGAGAAAAAGTTCTCTGGCCGCGATATGTCGTCACTTATAACTTACGACTTACGGCCTCTTAAAGCAAGGTTGTGGA